CTCTGGTGGAGCGTCCCCTACTGGGCTAATGTTTTTTTTTTTACGTTCACCCAGCCGTGGTGGTCTAGTGGCTAAGGTACTCCGCTACTGACGCGCAGGTCGTGGGTTCAAATCCCGGCTGCGGCGGTTGCATTTCCGATGGAGGCGGAAATGTCGTAGGCCCGTGTGCTCAGATTTGGGTGCACGTTAAAGAACCCCAGGTGGTCGAAACTTCCCGAGCCCTCCACTACGGCGTCTCTCATAATCATATGGTGGTTTTGGGACGTTAAAGCCCACATATCAATCAATCATGATTTTTTACGTTCGGAAGTATGTTTGAATATATTTATTCTATAATATACTTCAGCAAAATTAAAACATAAGCATAGCTTTTCTTGTGCATTGCACGTAGCGCATTTAATGTGGATATTACACAGTGCCATCATCTGCCAATACTCTCGAGGTTTAACAGCGAAGCAAAACGGCTACAGCGATGAAACGTGCAGCCACAGCCACAAGCCAGGTCCCTCTGCTAGCTTGATCTGTACTTCACCGGTGCATTACTAACGGCATTGTTGTTCGATAATTTTTCGCAATGTCTACTAATTCAATCTGATGAATAGTATACTTGTATTCTTTTCGATGTTCATGTTTCAATCCTGCAAAGTGAACGCGAGAGCTAGACTCTGAGCACGGCTGTGGCACAAGCGCTAGAGAATGGGATCCTAAACGCTGGCGTTCAGTTGATGAAGCAAATCTGGGTTCTTCGCTACTAGAAGTATTGACGATGGAGCAATGTGCTCACAAAGCGTCTGGACGTTCAACATTCGGTATCGTGCAGTGATGGCCCTACTCCCTGGCGGCGTACTACTGCGCGGCATATCCGTCGTGCAGGCTCGATAAATATACCCCGCAGTTTCGTGGAGTTCGTACGTCAGCGCTAGTTCAAACAGTTTTCTTCATTACGTACAGGATTTCGCAAAGCATCGTTCATGCACGGAAACAAACTAAAATGTGATCTTTAACGCCGCGGCACATAAGTAAGTGGAGAGTTTGGGTGGTTTGGCAAAACACTTTAGTCCTATATACATTTCAGTACTGCTAATGTCTTTGTCCGGTCAGAGTGGCTCGGGCCATACATCCACAGATCCTCTCTTTTCCAATGCTAACAAACGTGTTGACTCTTCTCCAGGCGCCATAGTGAATAGTAAAGCATGGCACCTATAGTTTGTGGGCATTAGGAACACTTCTCAGCAACCAAAATTGGTCCCAATCGAAACCGACGAAAGCTGTACTCGTCGTACTTATGTTTGTTTACGGTAGGTGGCCGCTATTCCGCACGTTGGGCCACTTGGGTCTCGACTTTCACTTTACTGACATTTTTAATTTTATTTCTGTGAGGTGAAGCCAATTTCAAGTTATGTTTTGTTTCACGGATGGGTCAAATAAATGAATGCTTTGAATCGAAAGAGTGGTACAATTTCATTCAGGAAAAAATATGGCTGATCCCACGTACAGTGGGAATCGATGATATGCGAAGCCCGAATGGGAAAGATAGGATATGTCACTTTAATATCACCACAACGTAAATAAGTGGAGATAATTGATGCCGTACATAACTTCCGTGTCATGATTATCATGTTTGGGTGTATCGTTTACCTTCATCACCTATTCACGTCACGTCATACCAAATTTAGTATATGTGGTGCCAGCGAAATGCCCGCGAGCACGCTATGAGCATCGTATGATGTCATGTTCTTACATGACATGCGTGTCAGGATTATCATGTTCGCACTAGTCATATATTTCTTCATCCAACGACGTCACGTAACACCAATTTTGGTATATGTGGAGATAGCAAAACGGTCACCAGGGCATTATGAAAGGCCTAATATACTCCAATGTAGCGTTGACGCGCATGCACGCTGGGCACAGCGACACTACGTTAGCAAAACACGAGCACACCATAGTCTGACGCCAGGCGTGACCGGCGCGACCAGCCTCCGTCGGCACGGCCAGACGGCAACCAGCGCGAAATGCGACATGCAGCATTGCGTGCTGATGCGTTACCTAGACAACATTGCGTCTCCCTCTTTTTGTGACGGAGGGACGCTGGACGCGCTGAAACGCGCACGCGTCAAAGCAACGCAGCGCGGCGTGCGCCTGCGAGTATATGGCAGGACCGGCGCCAGGCGTGGCAACGCCGGCGTGACGCAACGAAATGAACGCCGGCGAGCACGAGCACCGCGTCACGTCAAAATGTATTGGCGCCTTGACTGTTGCGTGTAGTCATGTTATCACAAGACACGCATCTCATGACCACCATGTTTCCACGAGTCACGTACCTTGGTCATTCATTGACGTCGCGTAATACCAAATTTGGCATATGTGAAGCTAGCAAAACAGCAGCGGGCACATCATAAGTGTGGCATGTAGTAATGTTGTTACATGACACGCATGTCATGATTATCATGTTTGGATATGTCATTTACCCATGTCGTACGTTCGTGTCCCATTATACCGTCTTCGGTATATGTGAAGCTAGTGAAACGGCCGCGAGCGCTTCAGGAGCGTAGCATGCAGCCGTGTTGTTATATGACACTCATCTCATGCTTAGCATGTTAGCACCAGTATCATACCTTCGCATTCATTCACGTCCCGTAATACCAAATTTGGTATAGGTGAAGCTAGCGAAAGGGCCGCCAGCACATCATGAGCGTGGCATGTAGTCATGTTGTTACATGACACGCATGTCATGAGTTTCATGTTAGGGTTTGTCACTTGTCTTCGCCATGCAATCATGTCATACCATACCAGTTTTGACAATGCCATGTGAATGAAACCCCCGCCAGAGCTGCAGGACAATGAAATGCAAATCATGACATTCATGAAATACATGTCATGATTTTGATGTTATGACTAGTCAAGTATGTTCTTCATACAGTCATATTATGTCGTACCAAGTTTAGTATTGATACCATTATCGAGACTGCCAGGAGCGCTAAATGTCGTAGGCGGCTAGACAGATAGATAATAGATAGATACGCTCAAAGTTGCCGAAGTTCACTAAGAAATGCTTCGCAATTATAAAGCCCCACAAACCATGCGAAACAGTTTTTTCTGTAATAATGAAACGCTGTTTTTCAACTTATTTTCGTGGTAGTGAAAGAATTTCATAAAATTTTCACATTCATAGCTACGTTTTAATACCTTGTCTGCCTTTAGGCCAAGTTGGCCACTTTGTTAGATAGTTTTTCAAATATCATAGCTATTTCCCATATTTCTAGCTTGGCAACCCTGGTAAAGCATTTCTCTGTACCAAGAAGTGCGACCAACGTTCGAGTATTTGGAGCCCTTCGCTCGTAAAATTGAAGATATGTGGGCAATTTAGATTATGTTGATCGCTATCTCTCGGAGCTACGCATGTTGAATGAGCTTCTGCCTGGCGTCCTGAACAAGCATGGGCGTTTGTTGAAATGATTCCACGAAAGCGCGAACCAATGCCTTTGGCTGTAGCATCCCCGGTTTTAGGCTCACTGACAGAATAGTAGCGACTGTAGTTGATGGTTTTGCTGGTGAATCGTCCGGCGAGATGAAGCGTGATAAAAAAAGAAAAAAAGCGAACGGAATGAACACCGACCGAAATGAAAAGGTTTAAAACACTGTATAAGATGGCGTTACGACTACCATGTGGAAACATATAAAATTATCCAGAAGTAATTATGCAGTGAAGCTTTAAAAAGGTAAATAAGACAAGAGCATAACGTGCCGCGGGCAAGTTATGCATAGTCGCGCATTTTCGGTGTCTGTGACGCACAAGAAAGCCTCAAGCTAGGCCGTCTATGTTCTTTTGCTTATATTGAAGCTGGCGATCTTTTAAACTACACCTTTTTTGCATAACTAAGTCACCAAATTCAAACTCACCAAATTATTACTCACCCGAACTTGCTCAGGCTTCGACTCTCGGCTTGATTTCAGTCTGAGTCAGTCCAACTGAGTCGACTTACAGGTTCGTTGGTCTAATATTAGCTTGTTTGATTACGGTGTGAATAATCTTTAGCGCCAATATCTCATGTAATGCGTACTATTCATGGCGCCTTTTAATATAGTACCTCGAAATATGAGTCATGAGTCGTTGCAAACGACTAAACATATTTTGCTTGTAGGAGATGACAACATGAAATATATTTTTATCGAGAGCGTTCCTGCGAGAGTTCGTGCAGAAGGAAGCCAAGTCAGCTACCAACAAATTTAACCCTTCTAATTTATAAATTGAAATGGCGTACAAACGACAGTTTTTAGGAACATATGTGATTAGACGTAAGCATGAATGTAAATCCAGGTAAGGCGGATAGCCATGCTGATCAAAGATGAGTAGATATAAATTTATGGCGCGCACATGCAAGGGGTCAACTTCAACCGGAGGGAAAATGCGTGTCGGCAATGTCCCGAAAAACTTACGCTCACATTACCCTCTTCAAGCTTACGTTTTGTCTTCAACCATATGAACATGAAATATATTTGTGATGATTGGCCAGACAACGCTGGTTTCTTTTATGTAGTTACTCAAAGATTGCGACGTGTTCTAAGCACTTACTCTTGCTTTCTTTCCTTCTTTCTTTTCAATTTGGTTTGATATGTTTCAATTGTACCACACGGACCGTTTTAGTCAGCATATAAAGGCTTCTATGCACCTTCACCTTATAGCAAGTGCGTTGTGGTTTGCCTGGATAGTTTTCGATACCAAATATTGCAGTCAGACAAACAGACTTTGTTCCTGACTTGCATCGCATGCGTTATCAAATGTATGAAGATATGACAAGAACTTCTCTAAACATCTTGGGTTCAGTATGACATATACCGGTGACGTAGTCCACGTAATTTTGACAATGACTACACATGACCAATACCGGTTGCCTGGAAATTCTTTGCATACACGTAATAACTGCCTAACACCTACTTCCATTTAAAGCCAAAAAGAGGTGCGAAACGCTCTGCCGCAAGTAGAACTCTGTACTCACTGCCTCAGCACCGCCAACAGGCCGACTTGCTGCAGCGAAGAAAACGAAAGACCGTCAATGATACTGTGTAGGAGCAATTTCAAGCGAGCTCTCCACCACAGAGATAACGAGGCGTCTGCGTACGATAGCATACACGGGAAAGATAAAGCAGCATGCCTCTGGAGTACGCGGATAGATGTTCTTCTTAGTGGAGGAGTATCTTCTGCCGGAATGGAAGCGGCAAACATGAATAAATCAGTCTCCTTCCGTGCCTCGCATAATGCTTTCTCTTCTACTCATTTATACTTGACGGCAACAGTGACAATGTCTTGTTGGTGGCCGTGCCAGCTACATTTGTGGGGTGAAAATTATTTAGGCGATATGTATTTATGATTTGTTTTATTTATAAAATTCTGCAGGCCCATACAGGGCCCAAGAAGGACTGGATAGAAACATTGGTTATAATAATACGATACAACAAGAACTTGTACATGCATGCATATATATATATATATATATATATATATATATATATATATATATATATATATATATATATATATATATATATATATATATATATATATATATAAATATATATATATATATGTATATATATATATATATATATATATATATATATATATATATATATATATATATATATATATATATATATATATATATATATATATATATATATATATATATAAGGACATTGAAGAGACTGTAATGCCAAGGAATGTACAGGGGAAGTTATTAGAACCAATGGAATGTAAATAAGAAGAAAGAAAAGTGGATGAAAAAATAACCATCCGTATCAACCAGACCCACAAGGCATCATCACGCCAAATATCTAACACCTTGTTTCTGCAGGACAGACGCTTGCTCACGGCTGGTTATTTTTTCATCCACTTTTCTTTCTTCTTATTTACATTCCGTTGGTTTTAATAACTTCCCCTGTACATTCCTTGGCATTACTTTCTGTTAGATCTCTTTAATATTGTGTTAAAACACGAAAGAACGAGCCCTTATGTATACACTTGTTCCCCTTATTTCATTAAACGAGGGTCTCGTACTGACAGAATTGGTGTCATTAGGTTGTATACGAGGAACTATTAATCAGCTGCCAGGTCATAATAAGTTCACGTGCTACGAGACGCCAAACATGCGCATAAAAGAGTGTTTTCACACTCGTCGCTTGGCTCATAGATGACGCTGACTGTCACTCCTACTTCTAAATTCACACATAAAACCCAAAAAAGTGGATGGAGGGAAGGCCGCTGTGGTAGCTCAGTGGTTAGAGCATCGAACGCGTTATTAGAAGGTCGTAGATTCGTTTCCTGCTCACGGCTGGTTACTTTTTCATCCACTTTTCTTTCTTCCTATTTATATCCCATTGGTTCTAATAACTTCCCCTGTACATTCCTTGGCTTTACTGTCAGATCTCTTTAATATTGTGTTAAAACAGGGAAAAATGAGCCGTTAGGTGTACACTTCTTTCCCTTATATATATATATATATATATATATATATTGTAATGAAGGAAAAAGAGACAACACCCGATGCTGGGCCAGCTGTTCTTCTGACTTCGTTCTTCTCTTTTTGCTCTAGCTACCCGCGCACCGAAGCGCCAGCGTCTGTCTTCCTTGGTCATGACACTATATATATATATATATATATATATATATATATATATATATATATATATACATATATATATATATATGTAATTTATTACATACTGCAAACCCCTAGGTCCAAGCAGGTGGGCAATTTCAGGAGGACATAGTTCCCACAATAAGTGGCACAAAAATTGTTTGGGGTGAGTATTTCATACACTCATAGTGAACGCAAGGAGCGACATAGAAAATATTTTGTAATGACACATGTACCGGAAAACAAAAGACACCACAAATTCATACTTCATATATTGTGCGAAAGTAAAAATAAATACATAGTTAATGCAAAACAATAAACACATTAATTTTCACTGTTCAAGCCAAGGAAAGAATAAATACACCTTTTTACAATAAGTACAGCACATACAAGAAGAAAAAGAAAAAGAAAAGAAAAAAAAACGCTGTAATAAAAGATCGGAAACCTGGGTTTGCAAAACAATTCTATTTAGAGCGAAAGAAAATAGATTCGATGAGGATGCCTGACTTGTTTCGTTCCAATCCGAGACCATGCATGAGAAATATGAGTATATCTAAGCGTCTGTCCTGCAGAAACAAGGAGTTAGATATTTGGCGTGATGATGCCTTGTGGGCCTGGTTGATAATGATGTCACGTACGGTGATGGGTCAATCTTAAGTTTTTGGTACAGAAAAAGAGAAAGAAGGTCAATTCTTATATGTTTTTCACGTGTGCTAATAAGGGCAATGCTATTGGTCTTCATTATTTCAGAAGAAGTGTCGACTCGTCAGAACTTGTTAAAAATGAACAGGATGGCTTTCCTCTGTATTCTTTCCAAGCACTTGATGTTATTTTGAGTGTGTGGGTCCCATACTGCACTCGCGTATTCTAATTTAGGTCTTATTAAAGAATGATAGGTCAGTAATTTAACATTACTTGGGGCATCATGAAACTTATGTTATAGAAAGCAGAGCTTTCTGAATGCAGAGGAGGAAATAATATTTATGTTTATTCCACGATAAGGAATTTGGTATTGTAACACCTAAGTATTTATAGCTATCGACTTGCCTAAGTGGCTAAGAAGCTAAGAACCAAGCTGGTAAGCGAAATGCAGGGGTACTTTGTTACAGAGCAGTATGGTATTATAAGTGTTCAAAATCATTGCCCATTTTTCGCACCACTGCAATATGTTATTTAAACTGCTATTTAACTCAGCCTGATCGTCGAGATGAAAAATGTCTTTGAATAATACGCAGTAGTCTGCAAATAATCAAATTTGAACGCCAGGGCATACAACGTTAACAATATCATTATTGTAAACCAACAAAAGCAAGAGGCTAGGACACTGCCTTGTTGCACTCCTGAAGTGACTGCCAAACTTTCAGAACGTTTATCTCCAATGCCAATATATTGCTTCCTGTTGATCAGGTAAGCAGAGATTAATCTGATGAAGTGCTCAGAGACGCCAAGAATTTTACGCTTTATCAATAGTTTATCGTGCGGAACTTTGTCAAAACTTAGCTAAAATCAAGAAACATTACGTCTGCTTGGCCGTTAAAATGAAGAGATGAAGTGAACGAATGAACTACCGTTATTAGTTGGGCTATCGTTGAATACCCTTTTCGACAGCCATGCTGATGTTTTGTTAGTGCAGCATTATTTTCAAGAAATTCACGAGCATATTCAGCTATAATATGTTCCACAAGTTTGCAGCAATGGGATTTCAGTGAAATAGGACGATAATTCTGTATAAGTGTCCTGTCACCTTTTTGGAACACGGGAACAACCTGGGCTGTCTTCCAGTCAATAGGCAGTTGTGCAGTAATGACTGAGACACGAAAAAAAATTTGCAACAAAGTTGGCAAGAAGCTCGGCATATCGCTTGAGAATATGGACCAGAAGAACTCTTAGTTTTCAAGGTAAGTAGCATATTGAATACTCCAGCATACGATACAAAACTATCTAGCCGCGCCGCGGTAGTCTTGTGGCTAAGGTACTCGGCTGCTGACCCGCGGGTCACGGGTTCGAATCCCGGCTGCAGCGGCTGCATTTCCGATGAAGGCGGAAATGTTGTAAGCCCGTGTACTCAGATTTGGGTGCACGTTAAAGAATCCCAGGTGGCCGAAATTTCCGGAGCCCGCCACTACGGTGTCTCTCATAATCATATGGTGGTTTTGGGACGTTAAACCCCACATATCTCTCTATCTAAAATTCATATCTAATAGTTTGGGGAATGTGCCGTCACGCATACAGTTGCGCTAGAGAATACACTTTGAAAATAGTTGTTCAAGTGTTGAGCAATCTCACACTTATCTGTCACTTTCTTCCCGTGAACCGATATTTGAGTAACTGGTTTCTTACTATCTTTTATGTAGTGCCAATACTTATCTCATTTTTTATAGAGTTAGGAAGCGATAATTTGATATAATAATGTTTTGCTGCGCGAGTGCACGAGCGAGGTCCTTTTTTATTTGTCTTATTTTGTGATTCAGAGCATGTCTTTTTATATCTCTGTATTCTGCGTTTTAGTTGAATGATTTTCCAATTCATCCAAGGCATTTACTTTTTAACTTTCTTTAGTTTCTCATGAACGAAATTATCTAGGCAATAGTGACACATATTTTCGAACTTGTTCCAAAGTATTTGAGCGTTGTTGCCCTCGAAATCAATGAAACAGTTTTGCATGAAATTGATAATGCTTGGGTAATTGGCATTAGAAAAGTCCTTAAAGGAACGTGCAGAGACGTGCTTATACCTTTTTAGTGGCTGAAGCGGTAATGATATGCTTAAGAGATAGGGATCAGAGAGCCCTGGCTTCACTTCTACAGTGCAATCAGAAAGATCACTACTGATGAACGCCACGTCTAACACAAAGCTAGATGCAATCTGTACACGAGTTGGTTCATGGACTACCTGCACTAAATTATACCTTAACATTAATCGAACATAATGCTAACGCGTTTATAATGTGAGCTACTGGAAACATTGCCTTGCCAATCTACTCCAAGAGGTTGAAATCACCGAGAAAAACATTTTTTTTATTTTCGTGCATTGACATTTCATTATGCAGCGTCTCTAATACATATGTTGTGGCATCCGGAGGTCTATAAAGTGCGTACAACGTATAACTCTGACCCCAACTAGAGATTTTAACACGCAGGCTTTCGACATCTACTAGGTCATCTAATAAAACCGCCTGAACACTATCTTCAACTAAGATAGCCACGCCACCGCCCCTAGCTTGTCGATCTTTACGAAATACTGTGCAAGAAGGGGGAGCATGTCATTATCACATATCTTCTCATTCAGCTAGGTTTTTGTTAAGACATTTACATGAGGATCAATTAGCAACAAAATTTCTAATGATTCAGTTTTGTTTTTTACACTGCGGGCGTTTACATTCAATATTCAGACTTGTTCAGGGATATTAGAGGCATTGCGTCAGTCGCAAGGTAACGTCGATGTATTATCGCGCT